ATAGTATTATACTATGTACTGTGCACTATGTACTGTACTTAGTAGTACATTGTACATACATAGTACGTAGCAACAAGGGACATACTACATAGTACGTAGCAACAAGGGACATACTACATAGTACATAGTACATAGCGCAGACATAGTATATAGTAACAAGGGACAAACCTTTCTGCACCGTATAGTTCACAATACACAGTACACAGTACATAGTAACAAGCGGCATAGTACATAGTACATAGTAGATCGTATAGTACATAATAGATAGTATCGTACACAGTACATTGTACTAGTACATACTACATAGTACATACCACATAGTACATACATAGTACATAGTAACAAGGGACAACCTTTCATAGTAACAAGCGGCATACTACACAGTACATAGTAGTACATAGTAGATAGTATAGTACACAGTACATTGTACTAGTACATACTACATAGTACATACATAGTACATACCACATATTACATACATAGTACATAGTAACAAGGGACAACCTTTCTGCACCACATGTTCAACACAGGACGAACGTGATGGACGTCCGCAGAGGTCGCGCGCATGGGAGTGGGTTGGATTGCAACGACGGTGTAGTTTCGTGCACAAGGGAAGCCGAGAAGTCCCCCTGAGGATGACGGCTGGCAATTGTCGAAACGCGGCGTCGGCGATGCCACACCGGCATGTTTCGCATTTGTGTACCTGCACGTGTCTCATTTGTGTATTTGTTTTTGAGTACATTTGTATTTGACTACACTGTTAAACTTGCTTTTGAAGAATGATCATCATCTTCTACCACTTTTGAAGAATGATCATCATCTTCTACCACTACCCCAATGTACTAAGGGGTTTAACAAAGGGGTCATAATTCAGAGAATTTCAGACCATTATTTTCCAAATCTAGTAAACTTCGTCACACTTCATTATTTTCCTCTTTGTGAACGTGATGTGCAGGTCTCTATACACGTCAATATGAAACGGGACGAGGACATGTGGGCCAAAGGATTCATGTGCTATTTTCAAGCAATGGGAGCAAACAGTGAATGGTGAGTTTTTTTTTTTTTTTTTTTTTTTTTTTTTTTTTTTTTTTTTTTTTTTTTTTTTTTTTTTTTAATACCAAACACTGAATGGTCAGTTTCCAATACTCTGTATCTTCAAAATGATTTTTTTTTTTTTTTTTTTTTTTTCCCTTTTTTAAAGGATTGTTTTTTCTTTTTTTTTTGGGGTTCCCTGAAGCCGGGTCCAGCTATCCATCGTTTTTTATTTTTTTATTTTTTCTCTGCTAATCATTGCACTACGGAGTTCACCCGAAGAGAACACACGGTAATTATCACTGTATTTTGGGGCAACTTTCTGTCTATAAATAGTATATATAGATATCTGCCCACCAAAGGATTCCTGCGCTATTTTATTATTTTTAGCACTTTTTTTTTTCCAAGTTATAGTAGCAAACAAACGGTCAGTTCGTATCTTCATACAGTGCAGTGGCCGGCAATGCACCATGCGTCCTGTGGCGTCCATGGCGCCCTCCATGGGCATCAAAAATGTGGAGCGCTTTTTTTTTTTTTTTTTTTTTTACTATGGAGCCTGTATGATGGCCAACCGTCTTTCCATCTGCTTTTGAGGTCTTCTTTTCGAAAGAGTTTTTTTTCTTTTTTTCTTTTTTCTTTTTTTGGTCAGTTGATGGAAACCACATCTAGTCCATTGTCCCATCTTTTCTCTCTTCTACTCATCATCGCACTACTGTCTTCATCTGAATAGTACGCACGATTAATAACTTAATATAGCTGTATTTGGGGCAATTTTCAGTCTATACTACTCTATATACAAGTTATAATGACCGTGAGTACATTCTATTCGGGTGAAAGATGGTAAAAGGCCACTACCTGAATTTTCCCAGGTTGGGGGGCCTTCTGCACGTAGGTCTGGGGTTGCAAATTGAGGGGGGGGGGGGGGGGGGGGGCACACGGGAGGGGGGGGGGGGGGGGGGGGGGG